TTTCTTTCCTTTAGATGTGGCCTTATGAAGGAGTGAGGCTTAGAGCTGTGGTAGGAACTTTACGACCATGAGGAGACAAACTCGGGGTCAAAGCCTACATAATGAGGAAACGAAAGAATGAAAGAACCTCGGTCCTGAGCGACATTATTAAAGATAGAAGAGTTATCATCACTCTTTTCTTCCCGAAATTTCTTCTTTGTCTTCTCAGCAATCATGTTCTCCTTTATCACCTCTCCTGGTTTTCACTGAAAAGTTACTTCTACTCTGCTTCTCTTTCTAGAGTTGACTCGCAACTCTCTGGGTTTTTTGTTTTTTCTTTCTAGTGGTTTTAAACTGGGGGGATATATAAAGAGTATATTTAATATTATTTATACTTAAACAATCGTTTTTTGGTATTTTAAAAACAGCTTTATTGAGCTATAATTCTCACACCATACACTTATTTAAAGCACACAATTCAGTAGTTTTTAGTCTATCCCAGAGCTATGCAACCATGACCACAATCAATTTTAGAAAAATTTCATCACCCCCCAAAGAAACCCCACACTCGCAGGAAGTCACTCTTCATTCCTTTCAGCCCTGGGAAACCAGTACTCTGCTTTCTGTCTCTGTAGATTGACCTATTCTGGACATTTCCTATAAACGGAATCACAGAATATGCAGTCTTTGGTGAACAGCTTCTTTCATTTAGCATAATGTTTTAAGGTTAATCCATGTTGCAGCATATTATCAATCACCTTTTGGTTTTATGATACAAACTACTGAGAAGTCAACCTTGACAAAATATTTTGGCTGGTGAGAATACATAAACGATGTGATACAGGAAGGCAGACTAGAATTTCTCAGCTAGGAGACTTGAGCAGCAAAATGAAGCGCAGTTTCAAACTATTTGAGAATCTACTGTTTGCCACAATTAACTATTAACCACAAAAGGATGACTCTCTGATTGCTACCTCCCTTTCTAAACTATTAAGCACCAAAATTTCATTTGCAACTACACACTTCCACTTGGATTCTGGGAGTTGGCGCCTTGAATTCAACTTTCCCTCCTCCAAGGACTTCCTTATTTTCACTAACGATAGAATTCACCCAGTCTCAAAAAGCTCTTTAACTCCTCCTTTTACTTCCACGTCCAACCAGTTGCCACATCTTATGAATTCTATCCTTGAACTATTTCCTGTTTTAGTGTTCCAATACTGTTGTGAGTAGAATTGTGTCACCTCAAAAAAGATGTGCTGAAGTACCTCAGGGAACCCCAGCACCTCACGGTGCATCCTTATTTGGAAATCGGGTTATTGCAGATTAGTTGGGATGAGGTCATACTGGAGTGTGGTAGGCCCCTAATCCTGCATGACTGGTGACCTTTTGAAAAGAACATCATGTGAAGAGACAGAGATACAGGGGAAATGCCATGTGAAGATGGAAGCAGAGATTGGAGTTAAGTCTCTATAAGCCAAGAAATGCTGAAGATTCCTGGCCTTCACGCGAAGCTAAGAGAGCGCCACGGAACAGATTCTTCTTTAGAGCCCGCACAAGGAAGCAACTCTAATGACACCTCAATTTTACACTTTTAGCCTCCAGAACTGTGAAATAAATTGTTGTTAGTTCAAGACACTGGTTTGCGGCACTTTGTTGCAGAAGCCCTAGGAAACTGATGCAAACACTAAATGACTTCATAATAGTGTGGGGGATCACAATTGGCCACCCCAAAATGTGTCTCTTTGCCTTGCCTTGATTATTTCTAAGAAGAAAAGACTCTGAAAGAAACTTTGACCTTCTCCCTAACTGCCTAAAAGAAATTTAAAATAAAGGCCTATCCCCAGGACAGGCCATCACCATAGATAACTCTGGGTATCTGGTACACTGGGAGGATCCTTGCTAAGCCCACCCTTATCAAATTTCTATTTACCAAACATTTGCTTTTCTATTTCCGTGTGAATTGCCTTCCTCCCCATTGAAGCTCCAAATGATGGCCCCCAACATCCTTCTTTGTCTTTAGCTGAAGACGGTATTTAAGACGAGAGCCTCCGCCATTTTGGTGAGTTGCTCAGTTTTCCCGGGTCTTTCCCATGTATACATGCTATAAAGCTTTGTTTGATTTTTCTCCTGTTATTCTGTCTCATGTCAACTTAATTTGTAGCCCAGCCAGAAGGACCCAGTGGGTAGAGGAAATGCTCTTCCTCCCCTAAAATAGTTTAGGCATTCATTATATCATACATCCTAAATCTGCTTTTTTTCATCTTTTCATCTACTACCCTAGACCAAGCCATTATTTCTTATATAGGCATTGTAAAGTCCTCCTAATAGTCTCTCTGTTTCCATACTTGTATCCCTATAATCCATTTGCCACAGAGAGAATATTTTAAAAACGTAAACCAGATTGTATCAGTTTGCTGCTCAAAACCCTCCAATAGCACCCTATCACACTTGAATTGAGGGCCTACATGATCAAACGTCTGCCTAGCTCTCGCACCTTACTTCCTGGTATTCTCCTCCTTCTCACTACACACCAGGTACACTAGATTTCTTTCCTTTTCTGTGACTAAATCGACTCATTCCCCCATTGCACACACTCTTTACTTGGAATGCTTTTCCTCTTATGGCTTGCTCCTTCTTGTCATTACACTTCAACTTAAATCTCAGTTCTGAGTAGCCCTCCTTTACCACAGAACTAAAATAGACATATCTGCTTAATTTTAATTCTTTATAGTACTTTTATTATTATTATTTGTGGAGCTTTTTGCATTTGCTATATCTTCAGGTGGTAATTTGCCTCCCCTGCAATGTGAACTTTATGACAATTGGGACTTGTCTTGTTCATCACTTATCCCCAGAATCTACAAAACTGGCTGGTACCTGAGACATTAAGCACTTGTTCAACAGTGAACAAGTCCCTGCTCTCTTGGAGTTTACGTTCTAAAGGAGGAGATCAATAAATAAAAGAGAAAAAGAAACACCCAAATTTTGTTAAGGAGAGAAAGTGCTATAATAGAGGATATTGAGGAATCTACCATATTTAGATAGTGGAATCAGGCTTCTCAGAGATGAGTTGACATTTATGTTGAGAACTCAACTGATGCTGGGAAGGAACCAACCATGCAGAGCCCAGGGAAGAAATTCTCAACAAAGACAAGGGCAAACAGAGTCTCAGAGGCTACTGAGTCCTCAGCGAGTTCCAGGAAAATGAATGTGACTAGATAACAGCAAAGCCAGATGAGATGAGAAAAGAGGTGGAAAGGCAGTCAGGGACCAGATTAACCAAGCCTTGTTAGGGAATGATAAGGAGTTTTTATTTAACTCTAACTGAAGCGGCATGTCATTGAAGCTGTATGATTTATTCCTGTGTAGAGCTTTACTATTCACATCGTGCCCCGACCAGCAGCAGCACGCAGCACCTTGGAGCTTGTTAAAATTGCAGACCATGAGGCACTACCCCAGAACAGAATGAGTCTGTACTTTTAACAAGATCCCCAAGTGAATCATATACACATGAAAGCTTGAGAAACACCAGAGAGGGATTAGAGGTGAGAAAGAGGAGAAGAGCACAAAACAGTTAGATATGTTAGTCCAACCGGTAAAGGAAGGCTGCCTGCGTGAGTGACAGCAGAAGGGACGAGAAGACTGACTCGGTATGTTTTGGAGAAGCTGGTTTAGGTTTCTCAGACAGGGAAATGGAGATTTCGGGAGGCAGGTAGCCACACGAACCCGGATTTCCGAGAAACGTTTAGGGTTGGAGATACAGATCTGTGGGTCTACTGGGTATCATGCTTCTGAGTTTCAGGCATTGTTTCATATTTTACATACGTTTGCATGGAAAGTAAGATACGCCTTTCTGGAGATTGTCCAAAGTCTTGCACTCTTTCACTTTGCGATCCTTTGTTACTAGACATCTTTCATCAAGTTTTTATGAACCCTTTCACAAAAAATGTTTTGAATGTTTTAAAATTCAAGCACAATGCTGATCAACACTCTTCCTTCCTCACAGCCCCTAGGATTCTCCACACCCCGGTCTTAACTGGGACAGACACCTCAAGCCTCTCGTTTCTAGGTACAAGGCAGCTTGGAAACTCCCTGGTTGGTGGACCCAATTCTCTCCGTGTACAATTCTATATACTGAAAAAAAGGACCGTTGAGCTCGAAGCCAGTTAATGGGAATGAAAGAAGATGAGGAAGTTTCCAGGCGGGGGAGACTACACAGAGGCCCCATTCTTAAGCCAAGAGGGAGGGAGATTTCTTGCGTTATCACTTCCTTCGTAAGTGGCACAAATTTCGACTTAATGCTCTTCCCTATACCGTTTGTCTCATCAGGGACAGTTTAATCGTTGAAAAGCTTGTGACAATGATAAACCAAGGCAAAAAGGTCTTTTTTCTTTATTTTGAGGTATGGGAAATTTCCTGCCACGGTTTCAATTCTCCGCCTTTGGTAACCCAGAGAACAGAACCAGGACACTAGAGAACCCGCGGGACGACTCCTGCCGCTTCGGGTTAAATTCCCGAGACAGGGAAGCCCGGACCAGTGTGGGCTGGGGAGCGGTCCTCACATTCTCAACGGTATCGCTACAGTCACACTAGACTGTTGCCCTCACTGGGAGTTTACTCGATCCGTCGGAAACACCGCCCTAACAGCAACAAATTCGCGGAACTTCTAGAAGAAAGGTCCCTCCCAAGAAAGCCAGCTCAGCCACTCGAAGGGGCTGCCGCCGCGGGAGGCGCCGCAGGCGGACGAGCGGAGGGGCGCCGGCCGGCTCGGGGAGGGCAGGCGGCCGCGCCGGGAGGGGGGCGGCCGGGCCCAGGTGCGCGCGGCGGGCGGGCGCCGCCTCCTCCGCCGGCCGCTCCTCCCCGCCGCGGGGGCAGGGCAGCGCCGCGCTCGCCGCTATAAAGGGCCCCGGGCCGCAGCCGCTCGCCTCGGCGTCCTCGGCTCCGCCCTCGCGCCGGCCACTCCGCGGAGCTCGTTCCCGCTCGAGCGGCTCGGGCCTCGGCTACTCGGGCTGCGGCCGAAGATGGCGGCGCCGGCGGCTCGGGCCGACGGCTCCGACGCGGCGCTGGCGGCGGCCCTGGCGGACGTGCCCGACCTGGGCCGCCTTCTGGAGGTCGACCCGTACCTGAAGCCCTACGCCCCGGACTTCCAGCGCAGGTACCGCCCGGCCGCGCTCGCCCCGGCCCCCGCGGCGCAGAGCCCGACGGCCCGCCTCCCGGCGCAGGCCCCGCCCCTCGAGGCCCCGCCCCGCGCCGGCCCCGCCCCCGCGCTGGGAGGGAAGCAGCCTGCGAGGGTGGGCGTCGGGTTGGCTCCTGCCAGCGGGTCCAGAACGTTCGGAGGTGCAGGGGGCAGCTCTGTCCCGGGACTAGGGACCCGAAGCGCGGAGTAAACTTCCTCCGTATCCCCTCCCCTCCCCTCCCCTCCCTTCGTCTCCCCTCCCCTCCCTTCGTCTTCCCTCCCCTCCCCTCCCTGGAAGCAGCGGTTTGCGCCATTGCGCGCGTGCTCGGGCGCCCGGTTCCTCGGGTGCTGATGCTGAGGGCGGGGCCGCCCGCGTGTGTGCTGCGCCTTCGAAATTCTCTATTTCATAGCAAATACTGTGGTATTATATCCAACAGGATTCTTTCAGGCGGCTTTTGTTCTTTACTTGTTAATATTCTCCCTCTCAGGGAAGATTAAGCCTGTCCTGGTCACTTTTTTTCTCTTTCTCGGGCCAGATGTACAGCACTCTTCGTCGGTGTTCGTCACTGCCACCCAAGAGGGAGAAAGGCAGGAAAGCCGAACTTCTAGAGGCCGATTTAGGATGCTTTAGCTTTAGTTTGTGCCCTCTCTTGCTGTAGTAAATTGGTTTACCACAATTACGTTGCTGGGATAATTAGCAGTCAGCTCAACTTAAAAGGTATAGTTTTTAAGATTAAAATAGTTGTTATCCTAGTTGCAGCAGTTACATTTGTGAGCTAAGTACACTGTGGTTTAATGCTTTCTGCCCTTTTAGCCAAGTCACTTGAGAATGAAACCTACCGTGGCAACAGAATATACAGTGACATTTTAGTAGCAGAAAACGTCTACTGACAGGAAGTAGGATTGGGGGTAATGAAGCAGGGTTGACTGGAGTTTGAAAAAAAAAAAAAATCTTAGGTTCATAACCTGGCACTGTGACTTACTAATTGTATTCAATTCAGCAACTGTTTGTTAAGGATTTCCCTGTGAAGGAAAAGTGAGGGACACAAAGTCCAGTACAGCATCTCATTCCGGAGCTTGTGTAGCCTAATGAATGGGCCCTCCTCAGAGTGGTCACCTTGAGCCATTGCTCCCTTAGTCAGATGATTGGGCCCTTCTATAAACCATTTGAGAGCAGCGCTGTGAAATTGCTTTCACTTTTACAATATATGCTTTCAAAGGAACTTAGTGAGTAATCTTCAGAGTTCAAGGTGGCATTTGATTTAGAATTAAAAAAGTTCAGAGCAAGAGATGATGGTCAGACTTGTTTGATGTGCTTATTAATGATGACACTAATTTACTTGTATGCTTTGTAGAATGGCGCTTAAGACGTTTTAAAAGAAGAGTTGTGGAAATGTTTTGTCTGCATTTCTCCTCCTCCTTTTTAAAAAATGATCACAAGCAGATAAACATCCCTTGTTAAATGTTTCTTTCATGTAATTCACTTCAGCTCCACTGAGATTGAAGCGTTTATGATCCTCTTTCATGGTTTGTCAAAACTAATGAGAGGGACAAAGGCTAGAATAAAGAAATGGGGACAGTCCAGTGTTCTCGGTGAGAAGGCTGGCTCAATGGGCCCTTGTGCGTTGCTCTGACCTGGATTCTGCTTGTGGCCTTGGTTCTGAGTAATTGCCATTTTCCAGCACACATGTTCCATTTACGCATGTCAAATAGTAATTTGGCACTTGGCAGCAGTAACTTTTACTGTTCACATTTGAAAAATAAAAATTTCCTCTTTCATAAAGTTTGGTCCTGGTTTATTTTCCTATTTTCTGTTTATTTCTAATAACCCACTTGGACAGCGTGTCCTTGGCCTAACACAAATATACAACCAGTCAGACATTTAGGTGCAAAGTATGCTTCCTAAGGAGTGAAGAAAATTGAGGGTACGAACAACAGTGTATAAGAATGATGATGGAGGAGTCAGTTTCTTCTCGTTGATGGGTTGTCTTATCCTTCGCCAGCCAACACATATTCATTAGAAATTCATTAGAAATTCTCTGTACATTTTGTTGTTCTTGGTTACCCTTTCTGTAACTGTAAGACTATTGAATCAAGTGTGAGGGTCAGTAAATTATTCTGTGCCATAAAATAAAAATTTATACATTACTATGTGCGACAGCCCCTGTGAAGTCTTGTTGATTACCTCCTGAGATACCCCTTGGCTCTCCTGCTTTTTTCACTTGTTATTTATACTGCACTTAGTCTCTGTGATTGTAATTCCGGTATCTGAGTGTTTTAAAACAGGAACATTGAATTGTCCCGATATTTCATGCCAATGTGAGTCAGGCTGTCATGGCAGTCACTCAAGGATCTAGGCTAATGAAAGCTTCGTTTGGTAACATGCTTCTACAGTGTCAGTGGCAAGGAACAGAGAGCGTGTTGAGCTATGCACTGTTTTTTACAGCTTTAGCCTAGTGATGAGCCACTTCTGCTGAGACGTTATGTTGGCCACTGCAAGTCAAACGTGACTTCTAAACCGTGTGGGTGGAAGAGAGAACTGACATTTGTGAACAGCATGAAGAACGACACAGTTGCAATAACACTTGTCTATACCCTCTGTTTAAAATTTATATAGTACTTTTAGATATATTATGCTATTTAATCCTCATAACGAAACTGGGAAGCAGAAAAGGTGGGCATTTTTATTTTTCCTGTTTTAAAGGTGAAGAACCTGAAATTTGGTCAAGTGACTCGCTTAAGTGCACATAGCTAGTTCCCACTGGGATTACTCTTTCTTTGCTAAAACTGTTCTCAAGAAGTTCACAATGACTTCTTGGTAACATCCTGGATATTTCTTTCCTCCTCTTTATCTCTAGCATTGGACATTTTGGACTACTTCTTGGATCTCTGAAGCCATGATACTGTAGCTCTTGCTTTTCTTCCATGATTTCTGGCTGTTTCTCCTCAACCTCTTTCTGACCATTTAATATCTGAGATTCTGAAGGCTCTTCCCTAGGTATGTTTGTGTGTTTCTACTCTGTATACTTTCCCTAGGCATTCTTATCCGTCCCATGGATTCCATCTATGTGCTGAGGCTGCCCACATCTAACTTCACCCCAAATCTCTCTCCTGGTCTTAGTCCTATTTATAAATATCTTCATTTTGATGTCCTATAAGTACAAAATTTAACACGCATAAAACCGAACTTACGTTTTTTCATCCCAAACCTGATTGTCCCTTTATACCTTATTTCAGTGTGGTATCCTCATTTACCAACTGCTCAAGCCTAAACTTATCCATAATTACCCCACCCCTCCTTTCCTCTTACCTCCAACTCCAGTCATTAGTAGTTTTTCACGTGTGTGTCACTCTGTATCCTGCTGCTATCATTCTGCTCAAGTTGCTAGCATCTCTCACTTGGTTTACAAAACCAGCCTCAGCATGATCCGGTCCCTGTCTGTCTTTTAGCCTCATCTTTGGACTCTCCTTCTCACTCTGTACCATCCAGCCAGGGAGGGCCTAAGGGTAGAGAGGCAGCTGGAATGTCTGGGGGCTATTCTATACACTAAAATATCGCTAGAATAAATTGAAATCATGATATCTGTTTTACACTCGTACTCCTTTCTGAAATACTGAAGATTTTCATTTCTTATGTTGTGTAGGCTAAGAAGTTAGGAGTCTAGGAGAATCACTGACTAAAAGGCAAGAGAGATCAAGAACTATAAACATTTTCTGATCTTTATCAGAAGAGTGACTCTTAGCTTAGTAGAAGTGATTAAGTGAGCCCTTTTCTGCGTTTAATTTTTATTAATAGAAAATAATTTTTCTCCACCCCATAAAATAGGTTTTACCACATGTTAAAGAATATCAATTTGAAGAGTGCAAGAATGTTTTCCTGTCTTGGATGCTACATGTTTTGGTCTAGCTGTGGGTCCAGCTATGCTTTTGTATGTGCTCTTTCTTCTGCTTGATGTGTACTTTGCTTCTATCTTGTGAATTTCTACACGTGCTTCGAGACACACCTTAGATGTTATGTGCCTTCCCTGACTTCTCCCCATCCTTAAACCTTCTTCCCACCTCTTGTCTACCACTTTGAACACCCCTATCCTGAGAGTCATCATCTACTGTAAGGTATTGTCTTCCTGCTCTTTTGTGTGCCCCCCTCGATGATTTGCTCCAGTAGATGGACCCTTTGCCCATATTGTTTGCTCACTGTTGTATTCTCAGTCTGTGGAACCACACCTGGTTTATAGGAAACAGTATAGTATTTGAATCAGCAAATGACTGAGTGAATGTCTGCTGACTCTGTTTTTCTCTTTTCTATGCCAGTGAGTTTCAGGTCAACTCACCTTAAGCTGAAAGTGTTGGGCACGCTTGGATGCATAGACAGAGAAGAAGCAGTAGTTACCAGGAGTTATGAGAATGGGAATATATGTTCAAGTAAAGAGCTGAAGATAACCAGAGAAAACCAAGGAAATTGTTAGTAGTTAGAGACTTCCATACTCCACAGAGACTAAGGTTTAATCACTGAAGGAATTTTCAGTTTGGGAGAGCCTAAGGTCAGATTCTGTGCCCAAGAATGGGAGGAGAGGTTTTTGTGATCCTGAGTGTGTTAAGTATTACAATTAGAGTGAGGTCTCTGTTCCATTATAAATCAAAATAGCTTTTACATTGGTTTCTAATCAGAGCTGGAAAGTAGTTTAGATTTGGTGTATCAGCAACCACACCAAAAATTGATTCTCATAGCACAGAAGTTTTCATAGCTGAATGGTGTACTTTTTTCTCAGCGCCTGGCCAAGTTGTGGGCTCTGAAGAAAGTCAAATGTCAATGATTCTAGAAGGCAGGGAGGAACCTGAAGATTACAAGATGTAGCTGGCCTGCTCCTCTATACCAGCAGATTCATTTGCCCTTTGCAGCCGACATGTCTGCTAACTCCAGACTCACACCTTGATTCTCTACAGTGATGGGCAAGAGGCTTTGACCTCTTCTCGTTTTC